ACCCATTGCTGTCTGTCATAATTCTGTATAGGAAGAAACATATCTTTGTAAATCAGGTGCTGGAAAACAATAGAAGAAGACTTCTGTCTTTGTGTCCTGCTTGTGAAGAATGGGAGCATCTGCTTGGCCATTATAGAATAAAAGATGGTCGACTAATCAGATGCAATAGCAATTTTTTTGCTCTGATGTAGCTGATTAATACCAGTTTTAGAGAAAGGCATTATCCAACATCAGACTTGAGACTGTACAATCTCAGGGGGATGAACTGTAAATGAATTGTATGTTCTCTGATTATAGGCCCGATACAGATATAACTACTACTGTTTTATGGATCTGCTACTATGTGTACTTCCCCTATGCCATAGAAATAAAGTGTATAGGGTGGAACAATCTTAGCTGAATTCAGGTTGTGGTCCTTTCTGCAATAGCATCAGTTACTTCCAAAAGTTTTATGGAAAGAAACCAAAGCATTCATTTGCCACAGCATTCTCCAACCTGATTTGTTGGACTGCAGTGATCATGAATCATACTGGTCACATTAACACAGAGATAAATACTTGCTACAATGTATTGTCCATAAGTAAATATTTGCCCATATTTAAAAAAAGGCCTCATCACATTACCCATGTACATGCTATGTGAGCCACTTCATATGCTAAATTTGTTGAAACACTCTAACTCTGCAGATATTTTTCGTATCATGTGAGATAAAATATATATAGGACAAAGAGACCATAGGCCAGGTTCATAGAACTTTTTTCCTGCACTTCATTAACTTCTTACCGGAGTTGACAGGACTAGTTTGGCATAGTTCTTAGAAAGGCTGCTGCATATTGCTTTATAATTACATTGGATTGTTTATTGTAGTACGGTATAAATGTGATTTCAATTTGCTGCCAACTGAGCTCCAAACCAGTTTCATTGTCTTCAGCAGGATGACTAGAGAGATTCTAGATAGCAACACTATTCTCACAGCTTTAAAGACTTATCTTTGCATCTGTTATTGGTCTGTGGCTCTATGTTTAACAAATGAAAACGTAAGGGTAAGGAGAAAAATAGCTTCTACAAACAGGCATGAATTCCAGGCCGGAGAGAACTAAAAAAATATTTGATTTTGTTTTGTTGGTATATTAAGTTCCACTGATAATTAAAGCTTTCATGCAATCATAAATAACAATTTTTTAAAAGGACCCGAAGCACCCTTTCTTGCATTCATGGCTGTAGCTGGGTTATGCTCATCCATCCAAGAAGTAATTTAATATTCTGTGGTGCTGTAATTTAAAAGCATAAGAGCGTGGAAAGTTTGATTGGGATCTGATCAAGCAACAATAGTCAAGAATGCAGTATGTCCCCCTCCCCCACTATCATTTCTCTGTCTGTGATTTTAAGGATGATTTAACCAAGCTAAAATATTGGCTCCCATGTTATTCAGACCTTTGTGAAAGGGTTTCCTCAAATAAATTATTCTAGCAAAAAGGCCTACTTCCTGGCAAGCTACTACAAGAAATAAATCCTAGGGAGTAATAGTGCATTTTTTATCTTATATTAGTACTGCCATTATTATATACAAATAACTAAAGTCCCATTATGCTTCAGAACTTGGCTTTCAAAAATCAAGAATTCAGAATCAGATTATAAATTTAAAATCAGTATTATTTTATATGGAAGTGCCTCATATTCTCAGACACATTGGACTAAATGTGTCAAACAAGGAAAATTCTTTATTATTTTTAATACTTACATATTGCTCTTTTAGCAACTGTACAATCCCACATTCAGAAGTAATTCCTACCGAATTAAAAGGTTGTTATTGCAGCCTGTTTCAAAATATTCAGGTCAAATGAAGGTTAATTAGCCAGAAGATTCTAACTTTTGACAATGCCCAGGAAAGCTCACTTTTTAGTCATACCTTCACCAGTTAAAATATTCTCCCCCTGCGTTCTTGTTACATTCTTTCCAACACTTTTTCTCTATATTTAGTTGAATAAGCTAACATCAGAATCTTGTGTAAACAGATACTGAGAACTAGAATTTAAGTTTAAAATCTTCTCTTTTTTCTATATTAAAAACAATGGCAAGTGTTGTAAAAACAAAAATGCTTTAAAAATTGTATAAATTTACTTTTCTTCTTACCATTCACTAATTTTATATCCTTAATAACTTGACTTTCATCAGTTCTATTTTTCAATATTTATATTTTTAAAAATATGCACTGATTTACAAAATAAAATTTTATTTCATTCATAAAACTAACTTTTCCCAGAGTGAAACATTTATTTAGATCTTCATTTTTAAAACTTTATAGCCATCCTAAAGTTATAACTCTTAGGGCAACATACAGTTTAAAGAAAACTCTAGTTCCTACACATACAGTAGATGATACCAGTCCATTAGAATAGTTTATAAAAGAAGCAAAGTTTTAAAATAATCAGAATACATCTAATGAAAGCAGCAGAACAGAAATTAAAAGGCCTAGCATACAAAAAAAAAGCCATACAAATGGCGCAGTAGAATCAAATGGATCTTAATGGGGAGAAGATTCCAAAACTGGGAAGGACTTCCATTAAGGGTTCAGCATGTGAGGATACCTGGAGCAAGACCTATCATGATAATCTCAGGGTTGGGGCAGAATTTATCACAAGTTAGTTATATTAGATCCAAACATGTCTGTTTCTGGGCCTAAAACATGAATTCATGCAATCTTGCATCTATATTACTACGAAACATTATTTACCATCACTCTAGATGAACCAGACAGATCAACAAAATCAGTGATTTTTAATTGAAAGCAATGAATGGCACTAATATCAGCACTGCAAATGCAACTAGATCAAACATGATCAGCTAAATGGACTTTATGTTGAAAGGAGATGTTCATTCATAGCATAAAAGGGAACTGAAGATGAAATTTGGCAACTTCTCTGCAGACTAAACTCAAGCACTGAAAGAAAACTTATAAATAAATACACTGATTTGTTCCTTTTTATTTTTTCACCCAACCTTAATGCTTTAGCAATCTAATATAAATAGAAGCATTCATTTTCTTTCCATTGCTTTTCTTTTACATTGCATCCTTTTCCCATTTGGAAGGTTGTAACAGAATCAAATGTTGAAAGGCTATTCACTTAAAAATTATCCAAAATAAAGTAATTTTATGAAGATGACTGTCACTTTGGGAAATGTAGGGAATAGATAATAACATTGCTACTCAGATCCATTGAAGGGGCATCCATTTCAACAGAATGTTTACTCTCAAATACAATGATCTTAAAAAAACCCCAGACAGGATTGAATCATGAGCAATGTATTCCAAAATAATATACATGCCATAGTTTGGGGCAGGAAGTAGTAACTTTACTGCTTCCAAATAACATTTTCAGCACAGATTTGAAATATTTAAGATTTAATAGTTCTATAAGCCACAGCAAACACCTTTCAAAATACTTCATTATTTTTGCTTTTGCCAATAATGCTAATTATTTACAGTACTGTAGTTTTCAGAACCCATCTGAAGTCTGCCCACATAGGCTTTTGGAAATCATTTTTCCTCACTTAATTATTTCTCCCAGACTTAAGATTTTCATACCACATGGGTGTTTGAACTGACAAATATTCTAAGTTTTGCCTCTTTCCTCTACTGAAGTTTTCCAGCTCTATTTTCTAGTGTTTCTGAGGTTAGAGCTTGAATAAACAAATGGTAAACAGCATTCTAGATTTTCATATGATCTTTGGTATTTATCTTTCTTAACCTCATCTCAATTTCCCACCCACAAACCTTCAAACTATTTTATTTAGTACCTTTACCAATCAAGTCCAAATCTGTGAAAAAAATCTTCCTTCAGAAATTCTGATAAACATCCAAGTTCTTTAAGAAGTGAGCAAAGCCTGGGCTGTCAGAAGTCTTTGGTGAGAAAAGATTGATCACCTTCCTCTCCCCCTCAATCTCTGCTCTTTACTTGCTCAGTTTGTGGGCAACTTTAAAAAAGGGGGTGGGGTGTGGAGGCCTACAAACTTTCTTAGATACATCCTTAAGAACCAGTTTTGATATTTGAAGTTGATATTTAAAATTAAGTTGACAATCCCATAAAATATTCATTTGAGAGGAGAAAAGAGATAAACTGTGGGTGAGGGGAGTTATTGTTTCCTGTATTCATCTTTCCCCATCATCTCAAACATTCCAAGGTCTCTAATTGGCTGCTCTAGAATGTATTATCCGAAACACTTTCCAAAGTCCTTTCATACAGATTTGAATTGGCCAGTTTGGAATTTTTTTAATTCAGGTAAGATTCAAATCAGCTGTTTCACATGAGTTTGTTTCTCACTGTTTCAGTATGGCTGGTTGTTAAATGAAAGGTGTCTTTTATGTTACCTGGGATATTTCTTCTGTATACTTCTCCTCTCTTTCAACACTCCTTTCCCCATCTTCACTCGTTTTTCTTCATTGGGCCTATCACCCAATCCATTTGCCAGATAAACTTAAAAGACAAACTCTATCCATCACTAGCTGCCCATCACCTTCTTGCCCACTATGCCTCTTCAGTCAACCTTAAGGAGCATCTTCCTCTGAATTTAGCTTTTGTAATCAGGACAAGAAATCTTCAAGCATGACAAGTGGGAGTATTATTGCTGTTATTATTGTCATGGTTGCTATTATTATTAGCCATGATGGGGAGGGGGAACCCCAACCCTCTGTTTTCAACTAGGTTTGCCCTGCTATTGGGCTAGCCAGGTCATGTGATGAGGAATTGGCTGCAATTTATCCCTGCTCCTCAGTTTAATAGAGCAAGGTCCCCATACGCCTGTTTTATCAGCAATATAAGATATTAAAAAATAAAAATAAAAAGGTGGGTAGAAAAGAGGGAGGAGACTGCAAATAATACTCACACTAAAAAGGATATAAAATATTGGAAGGGCCTGAAAGATCCAGCGTTCCTTCCCCACCCACCCACCCACCCGCATCCCCCGCCCCCTCCTTTTGCACTGGGCCTCTGGAAAAAGCCATGAATTTTGAATTTGAGAGGGAGATAGGCTTCATAAACAGCCAGCCATCGCTAGCGGAGTGCCTGACGTCCCTTCCCGCTGTCCTGGAGACATTTCAAACTTCATCAATCAAGGAACCACCGACGTTAATTCCTCCTCCTTTGGAACAAACCCTCCTCGGCTTGCATCCTTGTTCCAGCAGCCAGCCTTCTCCGCCAAGGAGCCAAAAGAAAGCAAGGCACGGGCAGGCCCAGAAAATCACGTTCCAGCCTTCTGCTCTGGGTGGAGAATTCCCCTGGATGAAGGAGAAGAAATCTTTTAAGAAAGCTAACCAGGTCCCTGCCTCTTTGTCTCCCTCCTCTTCTGTGCCTGGATTTGTCCCGGCTTCTCCTGCAGGTCTGTAAAGGGGGGGGCGGGGGAGGGCGAACATTTGGGTGGCTGGCAGGGTGGAGGGAAATGACAAAAAAAAATCTGCTACTTAAAACTCACTAAGTCTTGGAAAAGGAGGCAAAGGAATATCCGTCTCCCATTTCTAATCTCAGTTATTGAAATATTAGGATGAATCCTTCCTTCCTTCCTTCCTTCCTTCCTTCCTTCCTTCCTTCCTTCCTTCCTTCCTTCCTTCCTCTCTCCCCCTGCCCAGCCAGTCTTCAAAACTGAGTAACTGCACTTCAATTTCTCCTATTTCACATCGTTTTTACCTCTCTTGTATGTTTCTCTGTGAGGTGTTGATTCCAGGGATGAGAATGGAAGGCAGTTTGTGTGTTTTGGGAAGCATGGGGAGTGGCATTGGCTATAAAGTGCTCTCTTCTATTTTCAGTGTAGCTGAAGGAGGAACAGAAAGAAAGCAGAAGGAAAAACCCAAACTCTTTTTTCCTCCTTTCCCCTCTACAGTTCACCAAAGGAACCCTTCTTTAGGCAACCAGTCCAATGTTCCAAAATCAAAACCATCTCCATCATGATGCCCCGAGGAAGAAAGGGTTTTGCAGGAGATAAAAATCTAAGGACCTGGTCGAAAATCCCCCCCCCCTTAGGCTAATGGATGGGAGACGCTAGCTTTTGAGGCTTTTTATTTTTAGGTTGGTGATAAGGAGATAAATCTTTTAAGACATCCTGCCTTTCTCTCTCTGCTTTCTGTTTTTCTTATTTATAGTTTGTGTTATTTGCTTACTTAAAGAGTTAGTTTTCAATCACTTAGTTGTGAATATCCTCCTTTTACACGCAGATAGAGACACAGGACAAAGGAACAGATAAGAGACAACAAACATCCACTCTTGAATGTGGATTCCTTTATAGCTGAAGGCAGCTTTCCAAAATGCATACCCCCCCAGCCCCTATGTGCATTTGTATTAAGACCGAACCATTTTACATTGTGTGGGTACAGAGGCGCTGGGGGTCGAGGAAGAATCTGTGCCCCACAAAACTTAGCAAGATGCCCAAACCATTTAAAACGGTTCTCCCCCCTCCCCCTTTCCCATCCCGCAGCCCCATCCCCGCCAAGAAAAAACAGAGATGGGACTATCCGTTTAGCTTTAGCCGGTTGTGTTACTCTGTGTAATTTTGCTGTTTCCCTCCTCCAGACACGTGTTTGGACCACAGCGAAAAAGCTTCCCGACGGCTGAGGACCGCTTATACCAACACGCAGCTCTTGGAGTTGGAGAAGGAGTTCCATTTTAACAAATACCTCTGTAGACCCCGCCGGGTGGAAATCGCAGCTTTGCTGGACTTGACGGAAAGGCAAGTGAAGGTCTGGTTCCAGAACCGTCGGATGAAGCACAAGAGGCAAACGCAGCACAGTGCAGATCACGCCGAAGAAGACCAAGTCAGCAGTCAGAAAACGGGGGAAGCCAAGAACTGCAGCTTTTCCTGCAGAGGAGAACGGAAGACGCCTTCTTCCTATCCAGCCGGCAGCCACGGCAGAGAGATTCGGAGTGCTTCAGTGCTTTACCCGATGCTCAGCCAGGGCAGAACTTCGGCCGCGGAGCTCGGCGGAATCGCCGACGCTCGCACCATCTCCTCTTGCTCGTCCTCCTGCTCTGTGTCCTCGCCGGGCGACGGGTTCCCGGAAAGTCAGAGGTCCCCTTTGCTGCCGTTGGACCCGAGCGCCTTCTCGGCTAATTCCTGCCCACAGGCCGCAGGAGAGCTTTCACCCAGCTTCCAGGGCTGCGCAGATAGCCCTATAAGTTTCTGCCTAGAAGACCTAGACTTTTTTACCAGCACGCTGTGTGCGTTGGATTTGCCCCATTTCAATTTTCAGTAACCTTTCGAACCCCGAACCTCCAATTTATTATCTGCCTTGGGTGATGAACCCCTATAAATACAAAGTGTATGCACATACCACCCAGTTAAATGCAGTCATTTCAAACCATTTACTTTTAACCACGAAACTCCTATTTTTTCCTCAGTACTTCCTTGGAGAGAAAGGTGTATTTCTTTAGTGAAATGATCACGTTAAATTATTTTGGTCATTTTTTCCAAAGGGAATTTCAATAACATTTAGATTTCCTTTATTCCGCACCCTCTCGCAAATGCTTGATGGAGTATCTGAGATCAAGCAGGTGCCCCAGGTGTTAAAAAATAAATAATTGTGTAAGGAGGGTATTTTTTTAGCTCAAGAAAAGATGCCCTTTAGAATTTGAAACATTTCAAACACCAGATTCTTTTTTCTCCCATACCAGCATTTCGACCATTCCCCATCTCATTTTGACAAAGTAGATATTAACAAATGCAGAACAAGAAGAAAATGTCCTAATAAAATTCTCAGGAACCAAAATAAGACATTTAGATGTCTTAATTTAAGAAAGAAAGAAAGAAAGAAAGAAAGAAAGAAAGAAAGAAAGAAAGAAAGAAAGAAAGAGAAAGAAAGGAAGGAAGGAAGGAATTATCTTTTAGAAATAGATTATTTATTTAAATGTTTTAATATTAAAATGCAAACTATTTATTGTACATTATTTTCATAGATTAAATAAATTGCTTTATAGTCTCTAAAATGCCGCATTCTTGTTTTATAGGCATTGAAAGAAAGAATCTAGTTTAGCTTTCTATCCTGTCAGTTCATTCAGATTTTATTCTTAGCAGTGTTTAAAGAATTATAGTGTAATATAAATTATTATTTTTGGTGATTTTTTAATAAAAAGACACGGTATTCTTATCAGTTAATTCTGTAAGTTTACAATACATCAGAGATATTTTAGAATATTTGTAACAGTTAAAGGAAAATATTTTTAAAAAGCAGCTTGAATAATTATAGATCACATACAAACACACCACAGATACACATTCCAGATTTGAGAAGAATTTAAACACCTGGAGCCAGACCAGTTTGATATGTCTGCAATATGCCTAGCAAATCAGAAAGGTTAGAATGAAAAAAGGCAATATTTGTAAAAATGTTCTTAAAATGAACATGTATTATCACCACCACTATAATCAATACAGCACCAATGTCACCAGGTTTTTTGGAATCTTTATATTTTATTTTTGCTAACTTTGCTTTGTACCTATGGATTTCCCATTCATTAAAAAAAGGCAGGAAATGAAAATGGAAAGAAGAATGGAAATACTAGTAAGAGAATGGTGTCCAGACTTTTGAATTCTGTTTCTGCAGGCTTACAGGATAAAAGTCAACTTTTCAAAAATGGAAATATTCTGGATGATAAAGATACTAAATTAACCAAAAGGGGGGGAGAAAAGAAGAAATATTGTTCGCATGAAACCATTTTTTTGAACATTTTCGGTGTAAAATATCGATCTCTTGAGATCAATTCAAGTAAAAACAAACCGAAACAAAAGACTTTGGATAGTCTTCTGCGTGGGGAGGATTGGCTTGAAAGCAAGCAGCTGCGAATATGCTTCTTCTCCAATAGCGCTCACTTATTATTTGCAACTCCAAATTTCTGAGATCAAAACCAAATGAGTGATTTAAAATGTCTGGCGTTTGGGAAAGTTTGCTGGATTATGAAAGGGAAACCTAGAGAAGTAACGAAATGAAAACAGTAGCTCTCTGACAAACATATTGTTATACTCCCGCACACAGACTGGCGCGCAGACACAAATAAATCATATTGCGTCTTTGTTAAGTCACGGGTATTTTTCCTAGCATGGCAGAATTTTGGGAGGCATTCAAATCGCAACGGTTGGCCAAAGTAATGCCCGAGATCCGAGAGAGGAGCAGAAGGACGAAGAACCGACGCCGGAAGAGGGGGTGTCGAGAAATGGAAACTCAAGATGGCGTATGGATCTCAGGCTGCGCGCTCGTGGGGGGGGGGGGGAGAAGGGGGCACTGCTGCAGATCCAGGCAGCCATTATAGATGGCAGAAATTGTTCTCTTACTACGGGGGAGCGTGGGCAGATAGGAATGCAGGCTGTGGTTGAGCAGGCTGTGAGCTTCTGACATCCCAAATTCTTCGTTCATCAGATTGTAGCTCAAAAAGATTTGACAATTATGCAATAAGCTTAGATATCTAAGCGTTTATTAACTGCATTTTAAGAATAACGGATATACATTTCCCTTTCCATGAGAATAGATATATTTCGTCTCCCTTCTTGCATTTATTTTTTTAAAAAACCCCATCCCCATAAAGCCTAATTGAAAGGGGTCCATATTTATGGGAGAAAAGAACTAACCCCTGTATTTTGATAATATATTTTAAAATTTAAGTTCAGGCAAATTTTCTGCTCTGGGCAATACAATAAACTGCCTTACACTGGTTATTAGTAGCAGCAGAATAAATTCATATTCATTTTTCTACTCTGAAGAAGTAAAAAAAATATTCTGTAGCTGGGCAAAAGTAATAAATGAGAAAGGAAGATTTATTTTATTTCACACTTTCCAGATAAACAGCGGCTTATTAAAACCAACCTTTTCACATACAGAGACAAACACGCACAGAATACAATCTTGCTCTGGTTGGTCTCTTTATTTTGTTTTGTAATAGTGTGGATCTAAAGATGACAGCTTTGTAATTGATCCTGCGTGGGATGATCTTTTCCATAGAAACAGTTCCCTGATTTTTGCCAGCTCTGAGAAAAACCTCTGCTTAGCAGCTGAGTAGAACAAACAAGATTCTCGCTCAGTGTGGACAAATCTGTCATACATGCAGCAGACTTTGCCTCCAACACTAGTTCTCAGTAATACAAGAGATTACGAGGTCTTCTTTTCAGATCCCATTATTCTTCAGCACCCTATAAGCACTAGTAATGGGGTGTGTGAATATCTGGACATTTAAACCAATTTCACAGATCATGCCAATCTAGTTATTTATTTGAATTCAAATAAATCAGATTTCAAGCATTTTCCATGGAGACTTACTTGCATTTTAAACAGTTGAGTCAATCCAAATAGAATCAATTTAATTCAACGGTTTGGCCCAATATTATTGGGACATCCAAATCAAATCAGACTGATTTTCCAAATACATTTTGTAACTTCGCAAAACGTTCAATTCAAACATTCCTGATAAACTCCCCATTGCCTTATTTTGTTATTATATTCCTTTTTTCCTTCAGCTCTCTTATGGCCATAGTCTTGGCCCTTCTTCCTTCTGGACTTGTTTCCTATGGGATTCTGAATAGCAGACTAAGTATATAGAAGGTCTCATACTTAGGGATTGTGCAGTCAAGGATTCCCAAAGTTGCTATGAAAGTATTACTGCAGCATAAAGGGTAGTTTACGAAATACGCAGGGATGAATCATATGAACAGTTAATTCATATTCCTCTTTGTTTTGGCATCATTTTTTTTCAGTCCTGTTTCCTTTCACTCTTTGGAGACTGGCTCCTAACATGCCACTCAGGCTAAATTTGGCTCCAATTTAAAAAAAGATTGTATATCTTAGTTGTATACAGACAAGCATTTGGTATATGTTTCCTACTTATTCCTAAGTGTAAATATAAAGACCTACATGAGTATAATTGGGATCTTTATGGGAGAATATACAAGGATACACAAATACAGCTAGTCTTCAACTTAAAAACATTCATTTAGTGATAGTTCAAAGATACAATGGCATTGAAAAAAGTGACTTATAACTGGCCCTCATACTGTTGCAGCATCCCCATGGTCACAAGTTCAAAATTCAGGCGCTTGGCAACGGGCATGTGCTTAGGATTGGTTGCAGTGTCCTGGAGTCATGTGATCATCATTTGTGACCTTCTTAGCTGGCTTCCAGAAGCAAAGTGAATGGGGAAGCTGGATTTGCTTAACAACTGCATGATTCACTTAACAATTGCAGTAATATGCATGAGAACTGTGGCAAAAAGGTCATAAAACTGGATGCAATTTACTTAACAATCACTTTGCTTAGCAACAGAAATTCAGTTGTGATTATAAGTTGAGTACTACCAATATTGCTTAATCATGTATGCGGCTTCCATTTTTTTTCTCTATTTGACTACTTTTATAAAAAAGGAAATTAACAGTTGCATCAGTATTTATTGCAATTTATTCAAAGAACTCAGTTAATTCTCCCCATGTTCTCTTAATACCAATTCTGTGAAGTTAAATAAGAGGCCCAAACTTGCCTGGCCCAAAATCACTTTCAGACTTTAGATGTCAGCAGTCTCTCAGTCAGAATTTTTTCTGTTAAATCCAAGTGTATGTGCATGTGTGCATATATAGCTGTTAAAAAAAAAGCTCTCTGCAGATATGATATTCAACTGTAAGTCTGAGTGGTTGATCTAAGAGAATGATGAGAAATCTTTTGGGCTCAGTGTGTCAAAAATTCAGAAAGTCAGCCTAACCTGACTGCTGGCATATCACCCCCACCCCTGAACCAAAGAGAAACAATTCTATTTCTCCCTATCACTGGACCACCCTGAATAATGGCATTCATCTTCCACCCTAGCACCACTGCTGCCATTTGAAAAGGCCACCTTGCACTGTTCCCCAAGGCACACAACTTTCAGAGGGTCCAAACAAAGGTTGCACCGACCACACTCATTCTAATGTGGCCTCCACAACTTCCAAAAATTGCACAAGAGTGGGGTTTGCTTTCATGAATAGTTGTTGTTTAGTGTTGATGAATGTTGGTGTATTGCCCAAAATGTCATGGCATGCCATCTTTGACACATGTTATAGGTTTGTCACTACTGATCTAGGACTAGGGAAACTCCAGTTCAGTTCTCCTTCAGTCATGAGGTTCATTATTACATTGGTCTGGTAATTCTCTCCTGGTCTAACCTCCCTCAAAACATGATTGTGAGAATTCATGTTGGAGAAAGAATAATATATAGTGACATGAAGCCTGTGGAGGTGAGCATGTAAAGGTAATAAATCAAAGATGAGTAACTTGAAGTCCCGGGACTATATGGAGCACTTTTACTTTTTTATGATTCCCAAAGCCTCTCTACACTGCTGAAAGTTGGCAACAATGTTCTCTGTCATTTTGAGACAAGAATCACATGCAGTATAACTCTTGAATAATTGCTTAAAAAATAAATATTTTTTGGAAAAAAAACAAATCAAGAAATTTCAAGATTGGAGGGAATCTTTGGTAAAGATTGAAAGAGAAATAAAGATCTACAGATTTGTCTTGAATGTTCAGCTGCAATTTCATTGCATTACAGCTATGGTCAATGCTAAGTCTAGTACTACAAACAGCAACAAAACATGAGTTAGTTAATTTGCTTTAAATGTATGTCTACTCCCAAGGGTCTTTTGGATGATATTCAAAATCACCTAACCATCTTGTGCATTTCAGTTTTGCATATAGGAAAGAATATATTATTTACTCTTCCGCTTTGGAAGCTCTGGACATATTGCACTACATATTCTGGCAATCATCCTTAAACACTCAGAATGCATATGTACTTCATAAATGAGCTTCATCTAATCCACCCTCATCCTACCCATATTTACTGCAGAATAAACTGAATTTCTTCTTAAATCCACTAAATTAAATGGGTTGTAATCCTGAATCTGTATCCACAGGATTGCATTTTTCATTATTGTACAAATAACATTCCCAGTGCAGTTCACATAACTTGGAAATATACTGTTTTTGATTACAGAAGTATATCTAAACTTGTCTTTTATATACACAGAATTGTGATTAGTTTTTATATAGCCAATAATGGCAGCTGATAGTTCAGGGCTGAGCCTGGCATTGACAATTGTGTTCAGGCTGATCTTTTGATCAGTTTGGCTCAGGCTGATTCCTGACAAATATAGATAAGAAATCAGTAACGACCTCTGTTTGTCTGGTTCAGTCTGCAGCAATTAGGAAGAGAACTATATCACAGGTTCTTAGGAGACAATGCCTAAAAACAAGATTTTGGTGAGAGAAAATTGTTGGAACAATCCTAAAGAAGCAAATATTTCTAACCAAGAGAAAAACATGATTACTTATTTAGCAGTAATTTTAGACTGTGGATCTAATACGTATGGGAAACCAATTAAATAGTCAATGCTGCTTGGGAATGAACACCACTGTCAGAAAAGAAACACTTTTTTTAAAAAAAAAGAGCTGTAAGTATATTCACATCCAATCACTCTTTGCCTACAGTTAATTTCTTTTTTTCTTTTTTAAAGATAAATAATTTTTATAGGCTTTGGCAAGATTGTCTCAGCCCTGATATAGATGCCCAATTCATTTGCTTGTATCTTTCTTAATCACTTGATGCTCTAGGTGGTCTTCTCTGCAATCCACTTGGACGCAGAGCTTTGAAGTTCAAACCCAGCAGCTCTACTGCACAGACACACCAATAACACACTTAGAGATCTGCATAAGCAAAAATGACAGCTCCCTGCCTCCGATACAGCCCTGACAGGAAAATGGGAGCTGCCACTTTACAAATGCAGTTATAGATGCTCAAAGCTGATTATAGTTTGGGGGCAAGGATGAAGGGGTTAGGTGAAAGATATAATCGAAAAAGAGGATGTTGGTAAGGAAAGTGAAGGAG